CGAAAAGGGGGGGTGGGGTGGGCGAAGCAGTACACGTTTCCTTTTACTCTTGTTCCAGCCAGTCTTCACAGTTGTCCCCGTCTCTCTGACAGAGATATCCCAATTTGTCATCACACCACAGGTCGTTCCATGTTTTCCCCTCAAATACTGCTCCAATTTCCAAGCAGTGCTCTTTGCCCTTGTAGTTGTCCGGCTGGTTTTTGGCCCAATCTTCCACGGACAGGGGTTTGTTGGAGGTGACCCACGTCCAGGTGCCTTCTTTGTCCTGGTCAGTGGCCCCGATCCAGAGCCTTGACGTATCCTTGGCTACAACCCGGCTCACGTATTCCAGGGAGACGTTGTCGTGGAACTCGGCCAGGTAGCCACCGAGAGACTCACATTTCTTTCTCGCGTCTGCCCACGTAGTTTCCTCTTCGAACACTTTGTAACAGTGGGTCATTGCTTCATGCCTACTGGTCATCTCACAGCCGTTGTTGTGAGAGCAGAGCTTAATAAGCTTTCTTGGTGTCGTGACATAATCTTCCACCATGGACACTTTCTCCTCCAAGTTATTGAACTTTTGCTGCACGGCAGACAACTGGCCTGTAATGTTGGTGGACACCTGGTTTATAGCGGTCAGTACATCAGCCTTCTCCGAACTTCGCGCCTTGTTGACGTCATCTGACACTTTCTCCTCCAGGTTGTCAAACTTTTCCTGCACGGCAGACAACTGGCCTGTAATGTTGGAGGACACCTGATTTATAGCGGTCAGTACATCAGCCCTGTCCGCACGCACAGTGTGAACAATGATGACAACGGCAGCAGACGACACGAGAAGCGAGGTAATAATGACACAAATCCATGTCAGAATGTACAGTTTCTTGTATTTGTGAATGGATTGGCCGTCCTGAGGCCGAGGTGAGACATTGCCTCGCACACCCATCATGCTACGAAACAATAAAATTCCTCCCCGCAATCACCTGGCGTCAACAAGAAATAGATTATTTCCAGCGATAACGGAATACTGAGATTTTGTATTTAAAAGCCTTTTTCAAACACTCTCTCAAACTCGCGAGCTAGCGGCAACTGTAGAAGTCTGTACTTGGTAAGGTCCGTCAACTAAAGCTGGAATGTTTTTTCTCTGCTCCTTCCATAAGACAGGGAAGTGAAGAAATGACAGAGAGAGACGGAGAGAGAGAGAGAGAGAGA